AAATGTACAAACACAATGGAAATAAATTATGGTACAAATAAATTTAATGTTTACTCACCTCATTAATGACTACTATACTGTTAGTAACTCATATGTTAGTGCAGGTCCCCAGTCAATAAAAAAAAGGTAAACAATTAGAGAAAATGAATTGATTGCAGTGAACGAGAGTGGAGTTTTGATGACATCTACTTTAAATGGCCACATTACTAGGAAATGATCATGATCTTAGTCCACGTCAATGGCATGCTAATGTGTCTCATGACTCCATATATGAAATGCTCAGTAGTGAAAGGTGGCAGCATGAAATTTAAAAGATGAATGAACAGTGAAACCATGGAATACATGAATCTATTAAGATAATATGAAAATCCAAAATGAAGATGAATGTTTTTCATTATAAATGCTAAAAAAGGGAGGAAAATGTATTATTTTGGGAATAATTGTGACACAACTCCATGTCGGTTAATTCATGTATAGAGTAGGAAGGACAATTGTAAAGTGTGGCGAGATTTGCCATTGAAGTACAGCATCCCCATTACGCTTCATGAAGTGGTATATAGATTCCTTAGTCTCTAACTCTGTAAGTTAACATGATAACAAATGGAAACCATAGCACTTGAAATTTTTGAATCCAGACTTACCTCCATTTCCATTTAACCTGATATGACTCCAAAGTGCAAGTAGGACACTGCTGACATGGACACATCGACCTAGAGACTGCTGGATGCATTCGCAAGTACATACATGTATACTTCCTGAGCGATGTGACAGAGCAACAGTGACCGTATAGGCTTCTTTTTCCATGGATGCTCTTACAGAAGCTTTGAGAAAGTAACACCTGCCCTGAGAGCAGTCTTGAAGGGCTCTCACATGCTTACTTTTGAAGAACATGAGCCCTTTCCTAAGCATCTTAACTTCATTAATGGTTTTATGCTCATCATCGAAAGGGTCAGGCAATACTTCAGGCTCATCATGGACACAGTCTTCCTCTGAGTCATCTTCATACGGTAAAGTAGGGCAGGTTTCAATAAGATAATAAATAATATGTCCAAAGTTGAATAGTGGGGGGATAGGGAGACTGGGAAATGTGTGCCACTGGTCTGAAGGTGGTTCCAAATCTTCCTGAGTAAACGGCTGACTGCTAACATTATTCTGTAACATGCCCCATTACATATTAATAAATAACCGTACAAAGATACAGTCAATGTTGATGTATACAGTAGAGATGTAACAAAGTATCTATTTACCTTCTGGAGATCAGCAACTTTCTGGTTGTACCAAATACCTTTGTCCACTTTGGGGTCTAGAATGTGGTAGTTTCCTTTGGCCATTACAAGGCCCACCCTACAAAAGGAAAACAGCATATGTACATGGTAACAGGAAAATTATAAATGCAGCATGATAGCAATTCAAATGTGCAATTACCTTTCAACTAATTCATCTTTTTTCCCATAGCAAGGGTATCCACGACACTGTAACCACCTTTTTAGTGATTGTGCATTGTTTTGAGCTACAGTCTTATAGGGTAAAACTCCTCCATTCACTTCTGTATCCAGTAATTGTACAGCCTGAAAACCTTGCATAGTGGGGGATCCTGCTGGATCATCAATTAGATTTTCCTCTAATATCTGCTCCTTCAATAAAAATAGTAAAATAAGAATTAGTGCAATATTAAGTTAATTTCCTGTTGCAGTTATGATCAAACTGGCAGTACACTTACCGTATGCGGCCTTCGGTTCCTGTCTTTTTGTGGACTGGGGCTTGCAAACAAATCATCAATTGATTTGTCATGACAAAATGAGTTTACCTCATTCTGATTGTCTTTGTCAGAGAGGGGACTTACAGTAAAGGCCATTGTTCCCCTTTTTCTTTTGGGACTGGGGCTCCCCCATGAATCAGCCACATTGTCTTGGAGGCCTGCTTCATTCCAAACTTGTTCTGATGTAGTAATCGCCTGATAATTTTAAAATAGTTGCATTACTTTAATTTGTAAAGTTACTTAATTTTTACAACTTCACAAAGTGTTACCGATTCCATTGTGCGTTGGTGCCATTTGATTTTCAGTGGGCTCGCTGTACCCTTACTCAGAGAGCAATCCTGATTTTCTAAACCAACAGTTTCAGATTGGATGAGGTCGTCATCAAAAGACAAACTTGAGAAGGTCTACAAATTAGAAAGGCACATCTTTGGTCAAATGGTCTAATGTAAGGGCTGCATGAAACATTGCAAACTGACAAAACAATTACCTTTGGATTTGTTCTTCTCTCCCAAGTTACTTTTAATGGAGTAAGTATTTTCTTGCTTGGTGAGCCATCCTGTCTATTAACTGCAATAGTTTGAGATTGAATACAATAATCATGTGAAGATTGGCTAGATGAAGTCTGTAAAAATTAAATTAAATACAATTAATTAGATGGATGGATGGATGGATGGATGGGAGTATAATAATTTGCTTTTAGTAAACACATGGAATAACACATTGAAATATTACTAAGATGAGAATTGATACGTACCTTGGGGACTGTTCTCCTGTGCCGTTCAATTTTCAGTGGGCTCACAGTGTTCTTTTTCAGTAAACCACCCTGGCTACAAACTCCAATAGTTTGAGATTGAATGCAGTAATCATGTGAAGACTGGCTAGAGGAAGTCTGCAAAAAAATAAAAAAAAATAAAAATAAATAAAAATAGATAGATGGAAAGAAGTGCAATAAT